AGGGTTCAGCCTCCTGATGAGTCGGTGAAACTCCGACGAAACAGTTTGTCACAGCCCCTCGTTTGTTGTCCTCTTCTCTCTCTCTGCCTACGGTTTACCGGGCAGTTCTGTTTGTGACGATATATATATATATAGACGATATATATGTATATAGAAGAATGTCATTTCCGTCAAATTCGACAGATTCAGAAGTCATGAGCATCTCAGACGCATTCATAAGATGTGTGCAGAAAAGGACCAATTCCTCCTCTTCTCCTCCTCCTCCTCCTCCTCCTCCTCCTCCTCCTGCTGCTGCTGCTGCTCCTGCTCCTCCTCTTCATCGTTCTGGGCCTCCTCCCCCTCCTCCTCCCCCTCCTGCTTCTGGGCATCAATGGCTACGACATTCACCTTTTCGAGCTCTATCTCCAGCATCTCCTCCTCCTCCTCCTCCTCCTACTCCTCCTCCTCCTCCTCTTCCTCCTCCTCATCGTCTTTTACCCCCCAACTGAAGTCATTCATGCCTCCTAAGCCTCATAGCTATGATGGCCATGCCCCCCATGGTGGCTCTTGCCGCTTCGCCTTCCTTCTCCGCCCACCAACCGTCTTCTACGTCCTCTTCATTGCCGTGAATGTCACCTGGTTGTGCTGCACCTTGTTCTTCATCGGCAATGTTGGCCCGCCGTTAATCGCCATAGCCAAGCTTCCACATCCCCTCCTCCTCCTCCTTCTTCTTCTTCTTCTTCTTCTTCTTCTTCTTCTTCTTCTCCTTTCGGTACTCAACTCCCAAACAGGCGAGAGAAGTACGGCGAACGGATGATGAAAAAGGGAGGGAGGCGGGAGATGAGAGAGAGAGGAGGTGGTGTTTAGGCCTGCGTCGTCAGACACTGCCAGGATGGCGATCGCTAAGAAGGGAGGAGGGAGAGGAGGAGGTGAGAGCTAGGTTAGCCATCGCAGGCAAAGGAAGGAACGCTCGCTCTTGGAAAGGAGCCCAGGCGGGAAGACAGTCACAAGTGGGAAGCAGAAAGGGGAGGAGGAGGAGGGGGCGAGGGAGGAGGAGGAGGATAAGGAGAAGGAGGAGAAGGAGGAGAAGACCGGGTTTCTGTGCCTTTTGATAGGCAAGTCCCAACAGTAGGATCAGCCAATCATCACAATGGAGGTGAGAGAGGGAGGGGCAGGGAATGGGAGAGAGGAAGAGGGGAAGGAGGAGGAGGGTCGCAACGGGGTGAATTTGGAAGGAGGCGGCAGGAGAAGCAGGAGAACAAGATATCACTGGAATACTGCAATCCAGCGAGAGAAGTTTCTCCTCCTCCTTTCCCTCCTCCTCCTCCTCCTCCTCCTCCTGCTCCTCCTCCTGGTTATCGTCATCCTCCTCCCCCTCATCATCCGATTATAATGTTCCCAAGACCACCTCCTTCCCTCCCATCTCGGATGGGGATGCAGTCGGAGAACGATTCGCAGCCGACAAACGCGACTATCGAGACGGGCGCACCACAGCCACGTCGGATTCGACTGTGGATATGATACGCTACTGCTTCCCTCCCTCCTCTCTCTCTCTCTCTCTCTCTCTCTCTCTCTCTCTCTCTCTCTCTCTCTCTCTCTCTCTCTCGCTCTCCGTGTGTGTGTGTGTGTGTCTGTGGCATTGTGTATCTTTGTCCCTGTCTTCCGATCAGCCTTCTCGTTTGTGTTTCTGTTTGTTTGTCTGTTTGGCTGTATGAACATCTTTCTGTCTGCCCGACTGTCTATCTCCACCGACCCTCCCCCCCCTTCTCCCCTTCCTCTCTTCCCCCTGCCCTCTCTCTTGAACCGAACACGTTTCCGCTCTCTTGTGGGTGTGAGATCAATGAGGAGGAGGAGGAGGAGGAGCGGGAGGAGGAGGAGGGGGGGGAGGAGGAGGAGGACGGGGAGGAGCCTCTATTGATTGATTGGCTGATTGATTGATTGATTGATTGGCTCGTTGATTAATTGATATTGATTGACTTTGATTCATTGAGTGCTTGATTGGTTGGTTGACTGATTGAGTGGCTCGTTGATGAATTGATTTTAATTAACCTGATTCATTTATTGATTGGTTGGTTGGTTGGTTGGTTGATTGACTGATTGATTATATGATTGCAAGCATAGCAACTACCGTATTCACGGGCACAGAACGCCTCGTCATTATAGCTGCATTTGCGCCAATTGTCTGTCCAGACCGGGGGCGACAGCCTTGAGATATCATCGTGAAACTGACCGGCCCTAGGTAATTCAGGCATTTCGCTCATCTGGTTCAATTCAAGCGGGATTCGAGCTCACGTCCGCATTGCAACAGTTTGGGCCTCGCTGCACTACTCTCCACATGCACAAACGACAAAAAAGATGGCAACGTATCTGTCCATGTTCTAGCCGTGGATTCATTCTCATTTTGCACATTTGGAGAGTAGTGCAGCCAGGCCCTTTAAAGCTGTAACGACAAAAAAGATGGAACGTATCTGTCCATGTTCTAAGCCCGATGTTCTCCACATCCTTTAATAATGACAGGGCGTTCTATTCGGGAGAAGGAGAAACGATAGCAAGGGTAGGGTGGGATGTCAATAAGGAAAGGACCTAGGCGACCAGAGTGGCTCGGGTCCATTTGCCCGGCCGGGCCAAAAAAAAAAAAAAAAAAAAAAAAAAAAAAAAGTTTGCAGCCCTTAGGCTGTGGTATAGTGGGCTTCCTGGTCTATGTCAAGGTGTCGCATTTTTGGCGGCCCGCAACCAGGACGCAAAGTTCGCAGCCCGTCAGGGTTGCATTTTCCCCCCCTGAGACATTTCAACATCAATCAAATTTCACCGTCGGTGGTCGTCGGGAGGGTGGGCATTTGAGGTTTTGGGGCCTTGCAAGGGCCAGGACCGCGTAGAACCGGTAGCTGCTCGTAGGAGGCCGAGGTCCTTAAGCCATTTTCAAAATTATCTACCGCGTGGGCGCGGGGAACGCAGCCCTAAGGTAGCCAAAT